CATGTCCTGAGCTGCATGAACAAGTCTAGTGGGGCGGCACTCAACGATGGAGTAGATATATAATGGCACTGTAAATGCACAGAGCAGATGAAAGCTCTGATCACATTATGTACAGTAGTGTGTGAGTTTGCACATGTCAAAATATGGATTAGAGCAAAGCAGTAGGAGTATTAAGTCGAGGAAGTATGGCGGTATAACCTGTTTACTCAGAAAAACGCTCTCATCAGAACAACCTTCATATCACACATGTTTTCTGACTTAAGTTTGTTTTTCTTGTCAGTGCAAGAATGTAAGAGCTGTTACATCAGGACCTAACAACAGTTAGCAGATGCTCATTTGTTAATAAGGCAGGCCAGGACCACAAAAGTATGCAGTGATTCAGCGTTTAATTTCACCTTGGAACACGATCACATGTACAGGCTATTTGGCCTGTAATGACACCTAACAAGCCTCTTCTGTGGGAGTGGTTCCCATCAACTTCTTTCATCCGTAATCATTGGTTTGGACTGTTGTGTGATTGTTGTCATGGTGCAGTTGACCTCTGTGTTGAATACAACATAAACAGTCGAGGACTTTGGGGTAATAGTGCGTAAGACTCTTGTTTTTCTGAGATATGGTGACATGTTAGATGATTACCAGAGATTGCTTTGGTGTTCAGCACTCAGTGTCTGCACCACCTTAATATGGTCTTACAAGGGAAACATTGTGGTCTGCAGTATAATGTTGTTGCAATGTCAATATGGAGGTATTTGGTCAAAAATATCCCAATATTTGATTTTCTCCTTATCGCCCAGCCCTAGTCTGAGGTTTCCCATATTTCTTTTGTTTGTCTCAAACACAGTGTTGAAGCTGTTTTTCCCAGGAAAAGAGGAAACTCCTCCAGGCATTCAGTTTGGCACATGAAACATCTTGAACTCTGCATAAGATTTGGTGCTGTTAAGGGTTAATTTGCATACTGAGTACCAAAGTCTACCTTAAATTACCCTCAATTTACTTTTATGAAAAGGCATGTTGTTATCTGTAACTTATCCTTCAGGTGTTCTTATTTTGAAGCTCTGTGGCCGAGTGTCTGCCACATGTCTAACATGTAAACATGTCCATGGAGTCAGTTCTCAAGAAACACAGAAGGATAGCGTGTGGTTGGCTGCAGAACATTGTGTTTCCGTGTACAGTAAGCAACTCCCAGGGCGTGTCTCTCCCACGATCCTCTGTGTCAAACCCTCAGGCTGTCGCTCCCTCAGATCACAGAATGAAATGTTGGCCTGCCTGTCACCACCTCTGATGGTTTTAGGACATTGCAATTACACACAAAGATCTGCCACTCAAGCTAAACCATTTAGCCTGAGTTTGACTCGCAAAGCAGAGAACTGGTCGATTGACGCAAGAGTGTGTGAGCCACGTGACGTGTACTGGGTTGCCTTTCTTTGTTCTAAAGGCAAATGTTACTGTGTATGTGTCGACATGACTTATGACAGGCATGTTCACACACACTCTAAAACCATAAAACTGTTTCCACCTATTCACACGCAGACTAAGACACATACACAAAGAAGGAAAATCTAAAAGCATGCATCCTGTCATGATCAGCATGTATCTATTTTAGTCAGTATTTATTTAGGAGTTTGCATGTTCTCCCTGTGTCAGTGTGGGTTTTCCCTGGGTACTCCGACTTCCTCCCACAGTCCAAAGACACGCAGGTTAATTGGTAAATTGCCCGTAAGTGTGAATGTGAGTGTGAATGGTAGTCTGTCTCTATGTGTCATCCCTGCGAGAGTCTGGTGACCTGTCCAGGACGTACCCTGCCTCTCGCCCATTGTCAGCTGGGATAGGCTCCAGCACCCTCGCGACCCTCAAGAGAATAAGCGGTTAGAAAATGGATGGATGGATGTTGTCCAGTATGTACTGTGAAAAGTGTTTTTTAGACAACATATTCCAGAAAACATACTTGGAGTCATTTATAATAATTAAATTCCCAATTACATTTACTGTGTTGGTGCACTGATGTCATTTTTGGCATTACATATCTTTGTCATGACTGTTTGATAACCATGTTTAAGGGATAACTGCATCAGATAGATAGATGGATAGATGGATGGATGGATAGAATATCTGCCAATGTATCTATATCGAGATTTTGTTCTTCCTAATATCAGTATTGGTATCGGCCCTAAAAATCCAGTATCAGTCGGGCTCTAAAGCAGAAATTTATATAGTAACTCATAGCCTCATAGACAGACATGTATAGTATGTGTACACACACACACACACACACACACACACACACACACGTACATTAAAGCTCCATATGATTACTCTTATTATTCTTATTCACCTGTTCTGCTACAAAAAAAGTTGTGAGATATATTGAGATAATAAAAACAATATTGTTGCCATTCTGCATGTTTCCCAATCCATCATGATCTGCAGACACTAGGCATCATGTGATGGTTAAGTGCCTCATATCAAATGTACGGAAGCGTAATGCATTCATTTGAGAAGAAAAATATGTTTTTCTCAGTTTTTCTGAATTAACAAGATTATTATCTCTGATTTATGAGCAAAGTTTTTATGGAAAAATGAAACCTTCTCTCACAACTCTGCGTCATGATGATACATACTCATGATGTGTCATCAGGTTTCATGGAAATTTGAAAGCTTTTCTCGTGACTCTGAGATAATGGTCTTGTTATTTCAGGCAAACAGCAATTTATTTTCTCAAGTAAATGCATAAAGCTTCTGTACAAAAGTGCATCAGACTGCAGGTATAAATCAGGGCCTCAGTGTGGGGTGTTGCTTTTGTGCCAGGTTGTCACATAGAGTTATAACATTCAGTCACTGACTGGCACTGTGTGTCCAGATGACTGCACTGCCTGGGTGTTCCTGGGGATCCAGATTAAGTAACGGGCTTTTCCCAGGAAAGAGGGAGTGACTGAATGATGATGTTTGTTGTCTGGTGATGATCCTCGCTATCAAGTGTGAAACAACTTCTACAAGAAACCATCGCTCATGTTTTATTCATGTGTGGATACTTTCTAGATTCTCACAGTCAGGTTCACATGTGGTGTCACTAAATCATGTGCGTGTTGAAGTTATTATTGCAGCATTGTCTTCACACTTAAAGCTGACAACAGACTGTGGCATGTGGAGAATGCGTCAGCGCTTCTTTATCATTCCTGTACTGTAACCATGGGTGTTATTCTCACAGGAAGCAATTAAAGTTGTGTAATTATTAAATGCAGTCAGTACACCGTGTGCAGCATCAATGTGCTGCATGACAACATGTTTCTGCAGCTTACTGGGTGACATCGACCAAACATTAAGTACTTCAAGGGAGTGAATGCCAAATATTACGCAGGTAAAATTCAGACAAAAAAGATTCCTGGCGTCTTTAGCGTGACTTAACACAGGGGAACATCTGTTTCTCTTGCATTTTATACACCATGCAAAAGTATCACCTGCCTGTGAAACCTGTAAAAATACCTCACTGACTGGAAATAAAAAGCCTGTCCTGGAAAGCACGTTTTTTATGAGCAAAGTCACAGCTTCCACTGGTGTGACACCAGCGAGCGCTAGCTGTAAACACCTTACTGCACCACAGCTATATTCAGTGATGAAAAACAACCTGCAGACAAACTCTCCCTCTGTTTTAGTTCTCTTAACTCACTGAGAATTTATTATTAATATATATTATGGCATAATAAAAGTTGGGATGTTTCTCTGAGGATTGACTCCTATTCCCATCCACGTTTATAGACTAAAACTAAAAAAATCAACAAAGAAATTAAGATAATCCCAGTCCCAACATCTATAAACTTTTGCTTTCTTTTGGCTGTCATATTATGAGCTATAGGCACAACTTGGCTTTTGATCTGATTGCTATCTTATTTACTTTGTAGCTGATGCACCCACAAGTTTAATTCAGGTCACTGATGATAGCACTGACAGCAGCGCCACAAAGTTTAAAAAACTGTTTTTAGAGGCATCTGGCCTGAATGATATATAATAATATCAGTTCAGTCTTCACTTTGCGTACTGTAGGGTGGAGGCTCACTGCGTACGATAGCTACAGCAGATTAGCTACACACGCACACACACATGCATGGATGTGTACATACGGACACATAACACCACATTGAGGCTAGGATTAAGCATAATTCAGGTTGCTGATGAGATAACAATCGACTGTGTTGCATAACTCACCTGTGGCTGGTCTTTTATCCTCCACCTGAAGTGAAATGAGTTTGTCAGAGGGCCAAATGTTTTGTTTGCATTGTACATTCAGAGAAAAGGCAACACAATTTGTGTGGAGTCATACCTCAGCTTACTTAAATGGGTGTTACCATGGAGGATTTTGTATAGTTAGAGCAAGCATTTGCTTTAGGGGAAATGTTGTGCTTTGTAATGCAAAAAGGGCGGCTGACTTTAAGGGGATTTGATTTGACTTTCAAGTGATGTCACTCATCATTTTTAGACTGAGATAGACTATTGTTCTCAGCTGGGTCCAGAGTCATGTTTTACCTCCCTGTCTTTACTAATTAATTTGGAATGCTATGTACTCTGTTAATGCCTATGTTAGGACATTTTCAGTGGATGCTCTTACAAGCTCGAGACAGATAAAGCTCTACAACATGCAATAAATCAAAAGCAATGAATTATAATATGAAGGTTGACTAAACGTACGGCCTACAGCCCAAAACCAGCCCTCCAATGGGTCCAATCCAATCACCTTATATTGATGCACTTACGAAGGATAAGAGGTGTCACGTTTCAGGAGCAAGTTTAACAGTGAGCAGCCTCCTTTAATTTAAAACGATGCCTCGTCGGCTCTTCCACCCTGACCAGAATACAGCTCTCTGAAAAAACAATATTTATTGTGGTCATATTTAAAAAATATTAAACATCAATTGGCAGGTTCATTACAAAAGAACCTATATCAGACTTTTATCTTGAAAACAGTATTTGTGGAGCCCTGTTTTTTAGGCACTACCAAAACATTTGAGTTGTGAATTGTTGGTAAAGCAGGGGATAACTTAACCTGCTTCCTCAATAGATCCACTTTGGTTTGGGGAGGTGATGTCAGCATTGCTACACAGGAGTGGAAAAGTATGGGAAAATGTACATGTAGAGGGTAGTAAACCAACTGAATGTGGAAAAACTGAGACACATTGTTGAAACTGGACTTATTTTTCCAAAGAAATCTCAGGCTGTTCATCATCTGTTTTCTAAATAGATGAACATTTACTTGAAGTTACTTGTTTATACAAAAGAGAGGGAAATTTTTGAGGTGTTGTTATTAATAGGTTTTTCTACAATGGTTTTACTGGTTCTGCCCACCTGAGATTACTGAACTAAAATGAGTTTCACACCCATGCTCAGGATAAAGTTCTACAACATGAAATATATCAGTAGCTCTGGATCATAATATGAACTCAGACGAAATAGCTATAATTATTGTAGAACAGCAGGCACTTCCAAAGAAAACCTTCACTCCATGTTATTAGGAAAATATTATATGTCATTAAATGAGCAGTACAGGAGAAGCTGGCGCCCCGTCAAAAGAGGCTTATGATCATAAAGTAAAGGAGCTGTAAAGATAGAAATGGAACAAACACCCAGCCCTGTGGGTCAAACACAACTCAGACCATCTGTTATTTTTCCAGAAGTGTGGTGTTGTTGTAAAATCTATCTATTAACGCTGTGTTTAAAGTGAAGTTGCAGATTCTCACATGATGTTTTTGTTTCTAAGGCAACAAATTTGAAATGAGAGTGAGTCAGCAGTCACGGATGGTTTGAGTGTTGGTATTTTTGTCCCTTACTGGACTGGCCTGATTTCATTTTCTCCAGCGAGTAGAGTGGAATGTTTAGTCGTAGTCACTAGACTTCGCCCCGGGGGATGCAATGGAAATGTCTCCTCTGTGTTGAGTTGCTAGGCTTTCAGGTCTAACAGTGTGGCATCCACAGAGGAACTCCAGTATGGGGAAGTTTTACGGCCAAAAGTCCGCCTTTTTTTTCTCTGCTCCACCCTCTCTCTCACTGGTCGCTTTCATTTTATGCCCCCCTCCTTTCTCTTCACTGGTGGTTTTTCCTCAAAATCCCCACAGCTCCGTTTAGTCAGCTTGTTCCTCTTTTGCTTTTATCTTTCATTTCAGGTCCGCCGATGCAGTCGGCTTAGACTCGCTCTACAAGATCAGGATCAGTCAGACTGCACCTCGGAGCGGCACAGCAACAAGGTACAAAATCAAAGAGGAAAACTGTCGTTTACTGAAGGAAAGCAGAAAGTGTAGCATGGAACATTTACTAAAATGTTTTTTTTTTACTAAATGCAGGAGAGCAGTATAGCAGTTGTGCTGCCACAGAAACCCAGGGAGCTGGAAGAAGCACTCCTCACACCAACAGAAGTTGAAGTCATTAAGGTACGTGAGCTTCTTTTAGTGTAATTATATTTGATTATATAACCACACGCATGTATGAGCCAGTCCACCTTTTCATGCTTATTGAAAATATGTGTGTGCTCGCCCGTATTATTTAACACTCTCCTGTCATTGTGGTATCCAGGTTTATCTTGAAGCCCGTCCAGAGACAGCCGAGAGTATCAAGATGCTGACGGACGAGGTATCCCAGATTCAGGAGGTTAGTGTGCGACAGACGGAGCTGAGCTGAGCAACACTTCCCTCCACCACATTTAGACAATGAGTCAACATTTAACCACAAGTGGAAACATCAGAGTGTGTGTATTGCTGGGGAGAATAAGGGGAAGGGTATAGTGGTAATAGTTTCTGCTTAGACCACATGTTTTAAATGTGTTTGATGTGTTTTTGTCTCTAGGTGAGGTACTGTCTGAAGACTCTGAGAGAGCAGATGGCAGCCAGGCAGAACACTAACAACAACAAGGTAAACACCCTCTGTGTGATGTTTTTCTGAATGTAGTGCTGAAACAATTAGACTAATAATTGAGAAAATTCATTGACAGCAATTATGATACTCGACTTGTCTTAAAATCGCCTTCTTTGTCTTGCCAAAGTGGTGGATGTTTTCCTGAGTTGTTGTGTTGAGTTCTCTTAGCTACTGTTAGGCCTGAAACTAATTAACTAAAGATTATTACCAGCAGTGACAGCAGGGCAGGTATTATTTTGACCTTGTGAGTCTGTGTGTGTGTGTCATCATGGCAAGATGTGGCCTTGGAGAACGGGAACGACCACACAGACAGTTTTGAGTTTTTTGCCATGTGTTTATACGACTGTCTGTCTGTGGACAGATTCTGATAGTGTCACAACCGTGCAAGATGCAGTCACGAAACTTTATAGGTGTGTAGCTGAGTTCCCAATTAAAGCTGAGTTCAGAGATCTGGTCTGGTCCAGGCAAGGTTGCCAGATTTAGGGGGGTAGGAAAAAGGGAAGGGATCGCTACAACCATACTTTGCGCCCCCACTTTTCTTTTAAGTCGTGGATAGGCGTCATAGCTGGTATGATGCAATTGCAAGATGGTCTGTAGTTTTCATATTTACTAAAGTGGAAACAGACAACTTTTCAACTTTACCCCATTAGCATTTCCAAGCTGTATTATTGTTGGTGCTGCTGTTTTCCTCAGAGCACAGCAACTACCAACATAGCAGGACACACTACATTTTGTTTTCCTCACTTCACTTCCACCATTTCTGCTACAGATAACTTACACTGATACTGTTTTGGTAACTAGGGTTAGCTTCCGATAGCTACTACGGGGGAAAACAAAAGTGCTATCCTCTTCCTGTTTTGGTTGTGCAATGTTTGAAGCACTTTCTTTGTGCTGTAAATCAAGCCTTCGTTTTCCCAATAGATCAGAATTGCGTATTGAAAGGGAGGCTTATGGGGAAGCAGTCTAAACACTAATGGTGTCATTTTCTACAGCCAATACACCGTGCAGTCAACATTTACGTCATAATGACAAGTTGATGTTATGAAACGTATCTGTTTCCACTTTAATTCATGAAGTTTTTCAGACACCAATTAAATTATTGTCACAAAGTGGTCCACAGTTACAAAAAGATTGATGAGACAAGCAAAAACTCTGAAATCATCAGAACAAATCGAGGCTGAGATGCTGTTTAGCCAAAGTGAATAAGGACTTAAAAGTAATTCAAAGTTTTTTAAATTAAATCCTAATTTTAGCAGAAAGGTAGTCAAACAAAGCCAGAACCAGGATAATACATGGACGTTGTAGAGTCTTTGTTAGTGACCGTGCAGCAAAACCTTTAACTCACTGTAGACGTGCTTGGGCTTGTTGGCTTTAACAACAACGCTTTAACAATGCATCACAACAGTAACTGAAGATCCCTTCCTTCATCTGCTTCTGTTTTCTTAAGTTGCAGCACAGATATATCTGTCAGCCACCATCCAGTATTTGTGCATTTAATGAGCAAAAGAAGAAACAAAGCACTAACTCCACTAACCAGCCGCTGCTCTCCTCTTCAGTTTCCAGTCAATGGCTTCAGAGTCAACGTGCCCAACAGCCAGCGAGATCTCAGCAATGGAAATGCTGTTCCCACTGAGTCAGACGCTCAAGTAAGATAATCACAATCAGCCTTCTCTAACATCTTCAGAGGACCGTTTGCTGGGGCTTTTATGATCTCATTATTCATCAGTTTAATATGAATGAACCATGGGGAATGGCAGGAACCAATTTCAGCTGAAACTAGTATGAATGCATTTAAATTTGTATTTAAATGACAGGCATTACATTCATTATGGAAAAGAAATGTATGGCCCTCCAGCTGTTTCCCACTCACGCTCTCCAAGTGCCTGCTGCTCCAGAGAAAATGGTGCCAGACTCTGGAGCTGATAACAAAGCTTACCACACACACAGCACAGGAGCTCACTTACACTCTGAGTAATGGTGCACACATGAACACACTGCCCCCCACACACACAATATTGTATTTCCATGCATTATTCTCAACTCAGCACATCACAGCATCTCCTGTAACACAACACCATTATCTCTCAGAGAAGTAAAGTCAGAGCAGGGAGGTGCTGTGGCTGTCCATACCCAGTGACCTGTACATGTAATATGTAGGTAACCTAGAGTCAATTTACACCGCCCTCCTTTCTAAATGTAAAGTGCATTGTTTGTGTGGAAAAGCTATTTTGTCCACCTGAAGGACAGCCCCGAGATAAAATGTTATCTCTGCACAATTCAACACACGTGCAGCTACTTGTCTAAATGCTTTTGTTACCTCAGGCTGGGGCAAACAACCTTTCAAACACTTCTCAAATAGCCTATCAACAGCCGCTCTTATCTGTTTGTTAGCTCCTGCCTTGCCCCCCGGTTCAAGCAGTTTGCCAGATTACGCCTAATTAAGCTTGTCACTTTCTGTCTGCCTCCACTCTCAGGTCGGGGATAATCAGGAGGAGAGCGCGAGGCTCAGGGAGGCGACCAGGCGTCTGTACACGCAGCTGAAGGAGATGGAGAAGAGGCATCAGGAGGAGAGGGAGAGACTGCAGGTCTGTCTCACGAGATCAGTTACATGACACGATTTCCTGTCTGCAGCTATGACTCACTCCTCTGCTGCTGTCTTGTTCCTTTAATCATCCTCATTATCTGCCAGTCTCATCTCTGGATTCCATCCCTCATCCTGTGATCACCCACTGTTTGGGTCTTTGCTCTACAGCACATTCATCTGTCAGGTCATGTAGGGACAATACTCACAGGCTTACCATAGGCTGATCTGTCAAGTACTGTCCCTGTGATCTTGTACTAAAACCCTTTTACTGTCAGTGGCATCAACACAGTTATATTGGTGCGGCTGACAGATACATAAACCAGTCACATAGCTTGAACCCAAACTTATCACATCGTTTTTATTCATCTTAATTACACGTCAACAGCAAATACATTTAGGTTGTGATTCAGAAAACATAAAAAAGAAACAGAGCAAATATTTCAACACTTTAGACTTTACACTAAACACATCTTTTTTTTGTCTTTTGAGATGTTCCTTGATCTTTTTCACCACCATCTACAAATAGATTAAATGTTTTTCAGTTTTAGTATACATACAGAATGTGTTGCGTAAATTATATAGCCACTTTTTTATCGTGGTCACCCCACTAACTTACTAAACCTGCTTAGAAATAGTATGTAGTAAGACTTTTGGACACGGCTAATAAGGAAGTTAAAGCTGTAAGTTGTCTCATCCTAACAGGCCTGAAGAGTCATAGAATGTACTCACAAAGTTAAAAGGATAGTTTGGATCTTTTGAAGTGTGGTTGTATGAGGTGTGCATTCATAGTCAGTGTATTACATACAGTAGATGGCGGTCAGCACACCCCCAGTTTGGAGAAGCAGACAGGAGTACCGCCACAGAAGCTAAGCAATGCACTGCTGTGGACGGGGGCAGCAACAAAACGCTATATTTTGAATATTTTCACCACTTTATCTTGCTGTCAAACACCCTTTCTGATGGGGAACTGAAGCTGTTATATCACTCTCTTCAAAGCCAGACTCCACTGAGAAAAACAATAATTAAACATTGCTGAGCACAGGAGCTGCTGGTCTACCGCTGCCTTGCCTTGGTTAGTTTGTTTGTGTTATTGTGTGACTTGCGTTTTAAAGGGTCAGCTCAGATTCACCAAAATCATAAAAACACACAAAAAAAGCTTACTGAGGCAGCAGTAGACCAACAACTCCCATGTTCTGCAAGGTAAAATTACAGTTTTCGTCAATGGGGTCTGGCGGCTTTGACGAGAGCATAGATTGGGGACTAAAGCTGTTAGTGGCTTTCCCATCGCTTAATTATTATGCTATTTGCATAAGGGTAAAGCAATGAAAATACTCTAAATATAATGTACAGTTAGCTGCTGCCCCCTAGGTTCACAGTAGTACATTGCTTAGCTTCCATAGTGGTACTCCTGCCTGCATCTCCAAACTGGGGGCGTGCAGACTGCATCCACTGTATGTGACACACTGACTATAGATAAGTACCTCATACAACCCCACTTCAAGAAATCCGAACTATCCCTTTAATTGGGACCTGGAAAAGCCACATAGTTAGTATAAAAAGGCCTCAGAATACACAGGCAGTTAGAGGATCAGAGAGATTTTAAATGAACCAAACTATCTGTTGCAAACTTTCATTACCGTTTATAGACTTTCCTGATTTAACTTTTACTGCTGTACTTACTCTTGTGCAAATAGGATTTATGTCAACATTTCACGAGCGCTCATTTTTGGTTCTACTTCCAAATGAAGTGGTTTAGATCATCTGGCTAAACTGTCGGCTTGCACCTAACAACTTCAACTTGAGCGAGGTCTAATCAGGCAGAGTAATGACAAAACAGTAATTGTTTGGGTGTGCAGAGGCTTTAATAGTGCATCCATAACTACTTAATCACAGGAAATCCGCAACAAGTTCTCACTGTGTGGCTCCCCTCACAGGCCGAGTCGCAGGAGTATAGCGTCCGTCTTGCTGAGCAGTCTGAGCGTCTGCAGAAGGCGGAGGAGCAGTCGGAGCAGAGGGGTCAGCAGGTGGACGAGCTGCAGAGGCTGCTGGAAAGCATGGAGATCGAGAGTGGCATCCTCAAAGACAAGATGGCGGTAGGGGAGGCAGAGCTGCTGCAGCTCAAAGCAGACAAGGAGGAATGGGAGGAGAAAGAGCAGAGGTGAGATGAGGAACAAGGTGATGAATCAAAACACAGTCACTGCTCCTAACAGGAAGTAGAGGCTGGATTCTTTTGTTTTTAACAAGCCAAGTCATGAGGAAAAACTCATACTGTACCCAGTACTGTTTGTTTGAATGTCGGGTGCAGATATAGGTGAATTCATCCACTTTTATATCCTCTAACATGGGAGAATATATCCCTAAATATGAAATTAAAATTGCTTCCCAGGGTGTAAAATACAAACTGTGTAAATAACATGAACTCCTCTAATCAAAATGACAAAATAACTCACTCTGTAGCTTTCTATGTATCCATTTGCTGTTTGCTGACAGAGTTTGCTTATATATGTGTGTGTGTTTGCAGGTGTGAAGAGCTGGAGAAGGAGGTGGCCATCCTGAAGGAAAAGATTCATCACCTTGATGACATGTTAAAGAGTCAGCAGAGGAAGGTCCGCCACATGATCGAACAGGTATTTATGCACACAAGCACACTGACTAACAGTACAAGGTGCACACACACACATATACACACACAGTGCAAAAGAGCTCTCCAGTGCCCACAACTGCACAGGAAGCCATTAACGAGGAAATTAGATTTTGAGGAGGCGGACAGATAAAGCGTAATTGATTTGAGGGAGTGGAGCCAAGAGGAAACGTGCGGTGACACAAAACTCGCTTGTCATGAATAAATGATGCTGCATCTGCTCCTGTTGGAAAAGTGAGACGCGTATCTCCGGATCCTCTCACATTGTTTGTTTGTATTTTGTTTGTTTTGTGTACGATACAGCTACAGAACTCCCGGACGGTCATTCAAGAGAGAGAGAGATTCATCAGGGATCTGGAGGAGAGGGTGGCTTTCCTGGAAGCTGAGGTCAGGAGCCTCATGTAACTGCTCTCAGAATCTGAATTAATAACTAAAGGCTTGATGCTACTTAGATTTATTATTCCTATGATTACATGTTCTTCTGACATCTTTATAAAATATGTTATATGTGTTTTTATTTGTCCTTCCCGTGCTAAGGCTTAAAACACCACACATTTCCAATCAAGGAAAAGCTGAAAAGTTGTCCTGCGTGTAAAACCTTGGTATTACTGCTCTGTAATTCTGTCTGTGCACATTATTTAAAGCCTTTAACCTTTTCCTGTCTGCAGAACAGAGAAATGCATGACCACATGGAGTATTTCCTGGCAGGCCAGGAGCCTCCGCCACTGACGTCCACCGAGAACAAGCCAGAGGTTGTTTACAGGTGAGCTGCTCGATTTTATTATTCACAGTAAAGCCCTATTCACACGGGAGCAGTGTTATCAGGGAACTTTAAGTCTGTATTTTATGTGGCACATTTGCACATTTATTGACATTATCCCCTGGATTTGATGTGCTAAATCATTTGTACCTCCACTCACACAACAAAGAAACACTGCAGTGATGTACAGTAATTTCCTTTTTTCTTTTAAATGTGGGTTAAACATGCAGAAGTGATTCTGCCACATATTGTAACGTCATCTATCTTATCTTTTGAAATTTTACTCTTGTGGTGGATTTGAGTTTGCTCTCTCTGCAACAGTTCCTCCTACCGTGTAGCGAGATGAGCCTCCTGCACTCAAAATGCAGTCAAACCGCAGCTTAGTTGCATAGTTTGCTTAGTTGCAAAATATGGTGCTTAATTTGCAGTGGAATTTTTAATTGACAAATAACAGACATGGCAGATTCCCATGGGATTAAGATCTCACACAACCTCTGCAATTATTATAAATTACCAAATGTCCCTGGGTAATACTGGTCTCCTGCAAATAGGGTTTAAGATACTGATTTCATCCTGCTGAGATGACGTCTTGTCCATCAGTCATGCTATAGCCAAATGTCCATGTTAACTTCTTAACATTCATTTTTCTATTTTTATTTCTCCCTCTGTGCAGTAAAACACTGACTCCGTCATCACCGACCAACAAGGCCCTCCCGTTCATCAAAGTCATCGAGATCATGTCGTGAATGAAGTGTCAGCCAAAGGGATGACCAGAAGTAAAATACAGTGTAAATATATATATATATTTAACCACCTGCCAGGATGTTAACGTAGGTCTGCAGTGATTTTAATTAAGGCTGGCTCAGCAGTCCTCATGGTGACAAAGCACATTGGTCCTTTGTTAGTACCTCATAGTTACTTTTGAGGCTGTTCTGCACCTTTACCGGCTCTGTCAGTGTCAAACAGAATCTAAAAAAGGAAAGGAAAGGGGAATTCAAACTAGGATCCAGTGGTAGGAGGAATCCTAAAAAGGAAACGAGGAGGAGGCTGTGCAATGCAAAGAATTTTACTGAACTTGTTACATGACATACGCAGACACAAATCTGTGCAGTATGTACTTTGTCAGCAAGTCTTGACGATGCAGCAGCAGGAGGAAGAGTTCAGTTAAGTTCTCTGCGTTGTAAAGTTTTCCACCTCTACTTCTTGCCCATGCAGAAAGGAGATGTGTGAACAGGTCAGTGTTAAAGGTGGATCAAGAATAAAAACAGCTGTTAGTATTGTATTTGTCCCTTATATATATTTGGACAAATGTACAAGTAATCACACTGTGTTGAGTGTTTTCAGCACGTTTTCATCTTATAGCAGTGATACTCAAGTAGCTTTGCCTGGGGGCCACTTTTGCAAAGTGACAGGGCGCCAGGAGCCAGTTAATAAACAAACATTTAAAATTAATATAAAAATGATTAGCCCAGACCTCTGTCAGTAGGTGCGGGTGATCCTCCCCTTATTTTTTTTGTATAAACAAGCCCTACGTTGATGCTTTTCTGTACACTTTGGCACCTTATTTACATTCAGCGTGCAAAAAAAAAAATTCAGTATAAATTAGAAAATCTTATACCACGGGCCGTAACTTGAGTATCACTGTCCAACAGCCTATTGACCACATTGCCAATGGCAGGCCTGTAGCTGGCAATGTCAATATTTAAATATGATTTATGTTTAACTTAAATGTAGTTCTCTGACAGAGTGGGTCACATATTTTATAGAATTTTGACCTTTTTAGTTATGCTGGAAAATACTCATTAGATGCTACTTGTAGAGATATTGGCTAGTTAACTAACATTTTAATTATTATCTATGCTGCCAAGTGCTGTCTCAACACCCTCACTACATATCCTGTTCTGTGCTAAAAGGTTTCATATTTAATAACAACTCTGATTTAACTGTTAAACTTACTGAAATAACTATGCATTGTTTGTATGCTATTTTTTCCATCTCTGTAAAATACTTTCTGTTGCAATCCAGGATGTACAGTTTTATAAACTGAGTATACATTTACTGTGAACACTGTAGATAGATAAGTTATAGTTGAGTCTGTTATTTTGTTGTAGACTGTCACATCATGTTTCATAAAATGAAATACCTGGTTTATCTGAGTCATTTGTTGTATCTGTAGTTTCACTTGTTCTTGCTTTTATCCTCTCTGCTGTTGCATTTTAACTCCATAACCCTGTACCGCCACCTAGTGGAGATAATAAAGACTCTGAATGCGAAGAAGTGGGTTGAAAAGCTTTTATCTCACGCCACAAAAATGTACAAGCTCACATAAATACAAATCACACGATATTAATTAAATAAGTTATCAATGGCTGTATAAATATCTTACATCTGTACAAACAGTAAATCAAAAGGTGCACTCTTATTTACATTTGGACTTTTGGGAAAAATAAAAACAAATGCAGGTGATTTTCCATGAACTTTGTAGTTTGCCAGGTTGGCTACAATCGTATTTGTCCTCTGAACACACTCATCAGGTCCAACATAAGAACAAAGGCGCTGAGTGTAACACATGCACATAAAAGTTTCACCAATATGACAGAATAAATCTTGTGACTGCAAGACTTTAACAACTGTTAAAAAATGAGACATTTCTTTTTCTACATCAGTGGTTCTCAAACTTTTTCTGTTATGCCCCTCCCTTCAGAAGCCGAAAAAGTTTATGTCCCCCACTCCACAATTTGAAAACCACTAATCTACATAATGAGATAACCCGAAAATGTTCTGTAACTGACTTTAGGGAGAAGCTTTCCCAGCTGAATTTGTACAATTTTAAAGCTCAGCTTGAAAACAAGCAAAATCTTACAACTTTTCTTTTGCTGGTACTCTGTGTAACCATTTTGCACTCACACACATCACACACACATTTTGTGCCAGGCGGTCCATAGCAGCAGTCTCTCACAGTGTGCTCTCCAGTGTGTTGTAGTTGTCTTTGAAACTCTTGAGCTCCAGAAAGTGTTTGGGCCTCTTGCTGCGCTGGCCAGTGGAGGGCAGGTAGGTGACCTGGATGGTGGAGGGAGTGCTCCGGACAGGAGAGCCTGTCAGGTCCTTGGCTGCCGACTGGTGATGCTGGTCCAGGCTGGTGGTGCTGGAGTAGGCTTTCACCCTGACGGAGGGGAGGAGAAACGGAGGCAGAGAAAAGGAGTTAAATATGCAATACGGTTTACTATGTAAGATGGATGGCATTGCACAAGTATATTAGTGATACTAGTGAACATAATATTTATGGATATTAGTAATGAAATAGCAGCATTAACTGTTAGTGTAATAAAAGTGTTCATTAAAAAAGACTCGAGCTGAAATCATAAGATAAGTGTAAGAATACAGCTGCAGATCTCCTCTATTTTAGGTATGATTATGCTCATAGTGGATAAACGTACGTGCTCTAAAGGCGATGGGCCACACTACAGCATGAAACCTCCCGTTAACATCAAATTAGTGGAAACTGCATTCAAAACTTTTTTTTACAATAGGTAATTTTTTGTGCCGAAAACTGTGGAAAGGATTACATGTGAAAGAGCTGTTCTGATACCAATATCAGAAATGCCTCCAATATGGGGCGTTGGTGGCTTAGCGGTAGAGCAGGTGTCCCATGTACAAGGCTGTTGCCGCAGCAGCCTGGGTTTGACTCCAGCCTGTGGCACTTTGCTGCATGTCACTCCTTCTCTCTCTCCCCCTTTCACGCTCGTCTGTCCTATCCATTAAAGGCTAAAAATGCCCCAAAAAATATCTTAAAAGAAAAAGAAATGCCTCCAATACTGCCTAAAATGCTGGAGCAGGTATCAACCAGTACGTGTGTCTTTGCACTGATCCAACACTACATAATTTATTAAGAAACTTAAATGTAGATTCACACCTGGATAAATCTGCAGTTTTCATGGGAACCAATTCTTTAGTAGCCTAAACAGCAAGGTGTGCTGTGCAGCCACTGGCAACTACTGTTTTGAAGCAGCAAAGAAAAACTGATTTCCAAGAAAATAATGTTAGCCGTTAGCAATTTGGCAATATTTTACACTGGAAAGTCCCATCAATTAAAAGGCAACATGTGCAGTGTGCAAGGCTTCAATTTCAAGGGGTGGCACTACTGTTGCTGTAAAGAGGGGCTGCACTTTAAGATCTTTTAGTAGTACACAGCTGTTCATTTTTTTTAAAGGCAACAGTATTAGATCAGTGCTCAGTATCAGCCAATACTTAAGTTCAGTTATCAGAATCTGTATCATGAAGGAAAACATGGCATCTGAACATCTCTAGTATCAAAGTATGCACTATGCTTTGCCCTGTGAGTGAAGGATTGGAAAACTTGCTTCAACAATGTAACAAGACCAACAATGTCAAGTCTGGACCAGCATAAAAGCACTTACACATCAGCCAGTTCGTTGAGAGCCCGCTGGTAATCAAGAAACTCAGCTTCCCCAAACACCTGAAACAAAGAGTTAACACCCAATCAGTAACATGCAACAACACGATTGTTAAGAGCATTATATTCCTTTCATCACCCATCAGTCACACACAAAAACATTTGTACACACCCCTGTCCCGTGGCGAGCGCTATCATAGCCTTCAAGTAAACGGTCAATAAGCGCGCTGCGGCTGCTTTTGATCAGAGAGTGGGAGTTGCGCAACTCCAGCAGCCAGTTCCTGAAGCTGCGTCCAGTAAACGCGCTGGGACAGCGGCTTATCTCCTGCAGAGGAATTCCTGAGGTCCAAACAGGAAGGAACAAGAAATGAAGGTCAGAGGGGTAAACACTTCAATATTGCCCATGGGCGAAACTAGGTCACTACAAAAAACATGATTTGGTGAACTCACAGAGCAACTATAAAAACAAAAGACTTAAAGTGGAGCATCACCTAAATTATGGTTCAATCAAAGTTCAATATTTCTGAACATGAGCTACTCTCCCTCAAAGCCAGAAACCAGAGAAATAAGTCTCAAATTTGTGATGTCATCAAGTATAAAGTCTGGAGCTGCTCCTCAGACAATGAATGGGAGCCTGGTGGTGTGGACCCACTGATGTATAAATGTACCCATATACTCAGAGCATTCCCCTGGTTGCCCTCTGTGTCATCTATAACATCTTCCTAAGTCACTGTCTATGGAGCAGCTCCAGACTTTATACCCAATGACATTACAAATTTGAGTTTTAGCACCCAAGTTTGGGGATTTTGGAGAGAGTTGTTCACGTTTACTAATATTTTTGGACTGTTTTAGACCAGAACTTTGAAAATGAGTGTAGTTCAAATATGTAAAAAGATAAACAGATGAAAAGCTGCTTGAACTGCTGCATCTCCGTAAGAGGTGAGAGTGAAATTAATTCAAGAAATGGCAATGGTAATGTGTGTGAGACTAATGACTTATGTTATATGTGATGAAACGATGAGAAGAGTAATGCATGTACCTGCAGGATCAGGAATCTCAGCATCAAATTTAATCTCTCACCTGAGTCACGGATGGCATCCAGAGCTTGCATCCTGTACAGGTAGTTGTAGCAACCTTTGAAATACAAACAGGTTTTTGTTACATTACGACAAAAAGGGACAAAATGCAAGTGGATTCAGGTGGAAACAAGATGAGTTGAAAAAGTGACTGACTGATCTGTGATCCTTGCTTCAGCCTATCGTCGTCCTCTGATAGGAGACGAGGTTCGAAGCGGATGTCCTGGACCTTCGACAGTCTGGAGTCAATTTCCTCCCTCAAACCCTGTTTATCAATTCATGAGGAAAATACAGAGACACATGAATTCTTGCACCAACAGCAGACGCTGCATATGCAATTATTCTCTTGACAACACACGTGCTTATACAGGAGGGGATCAACTGTACCTTGGGTGCATTGTGGCCAATAGGAGCATGGGGTCCTCGGCGGGATCTCATTGCAAAACGCATGATCTGCCTTTTGACGAAGATAAACAGAAGCACAAACACCTGCGCACAAACCAAACATGGCAGGACAGGGTCATAACTCCAGCACCATCACATATGCTACATCACATAAGCTAGCAACCAAAACTGAAACCCACGTACCAAGCTTCCATAGGCCATAACGAGGACAACATTAACCCCTGATAACGGCGATGACTCTGCCATGTTATCTGTCAGCGTGTACAGTATATCCTCAGGTCGACTAGCTAACTTAGCTAGCAATGAATCTGAACGTTATGTTGCTACATTAGCTTGGTAGCTAACAGTCGGTTGTCCATTTCTGAAAAGAATAGCCACTGCTGCACAGTTGAAAAATTGCGTATAAGCTTTGGAAGGATGTTTTAAAAAAAAAACTATGTAGCGACCGCACTAACGCTCCTCTTTATGTCTAACGACATTGTACGTGAAGTACACAATTTAGCTTGCGCTAGCCATGGTGGTGCCAGCTAGAGGAAGTGTGTGCGACAGTGACAGCTGATTTACGACGCTCCGGATTACCGTAATAACTGTGTACGTAGGACCAGTCAGGTCAAACAACCTCCCTGTACAGTAGTTTAATTAACACTTTGTACAACATAAAAATCTAATGTTTTGTTTTGTCAAAAAAATTCAAAAGGCACTAAAACCTTCTGCTGTGTGTTTTGTACTGGCCCATGTATATTTTGTATGAGGTTTAATTTTGTACAAAACATTAAGGATAACTTTGGAAAATGATTTTTAATGTGTGTTGAAACAAGCACAATATAATGACACTTTTTACTGAATTATATATATTACATTACTATGTTAATACTAGTGGTAGTAGAAGTAGTAGTATTTAACACTATATTATATAGAATTATTCCATTAAATTAAAATTAAATACCTATTTTCTTGCATTTTAGACTATATTATACATCTAAATTTAACATCATTTTATTATTATAGTATAGTGAGTGTATACATATTGCATAAACTAAACACCCCTGTATATTGTACCATATTTTGATATATATTGTATTTATCATCTATACACTTGTAGCACCTGCAGCATGACTACCTGTTTAGGATCCTTAACAAGTCTTAACCTCAGTAAGGACTTCTAAAGTGCACAATATATTTGCATAATTAATTTTATTATGCCTTGCATTATAATGTATTGTCAACATACTGTATATTGCCTTTTTATAATTTCATGTTTATTGAGTTTTAGTTCCATTTACAAACAAAAACATTTTCTCCATGGTACAAATCGCTCTTATAATTTCCAACCATTGTTGTATAGTAGGGGACTGAGTCTTGTACCATTCCCATTACTATAGTATACCTGCTTTGATTGTCATTTTTGCGGTTTCTTTCATGTATTTCATTTTATTTAGTAATTTTTCATCTGTTTTGTTACCTCCTGTTGTGTCTCCTTTGCTGCAGTAACGATGAGTCTTTTTGTGTTTATGAGTGCATACTGTAAAGTGCAAGGCTCCTCCGTAATATACATGTATTTCTCATCAGATAAATGCAATTCATCATGCCTCAATTGCCAAATTTTATTATCTGTGTTGTGCATCCCCATCACTGACATGTCACAACTCCGCTGATAATATTAAACTATTTTAGTGTGTGGTCACATGTTGTGGGTCCAGTTTCCTCGAAGCGCCCTGTAAACCACGTGACGCAGCTCTCCGTGGTGTCAGAGTGGAGAAGAAACAGGTAAATTCAGTCTCTCGCTTATTGTGTGAGCGAGTCGGTTAGCTATATTTTCCCAACTTAGTTGTATCAACTTGGGGTTCAGGAATTATATCCTGTCCTAAATCCGACTAGAAGGTCGACAACGAGACCACTTGTCGGTCGGTTGTGTAGCAGTGTCTAATATTGAGCCGGGTTTCTGGTCAGTATCGCCTGTTATTTATTTTCATTTTAGGGGCCTGTAGGCCTGCCTTCAGCCTCGGTGAATTTTATGTCGAGAACCCGGCTATCAGAATATACTGTGGCGACAATGTGGTAGAGTGGTGGTGCAGTTTAGGAAGCTGCTACTTTGCTAACCTAGCTAGCTGGATAACATTGCCTAGCTACACAAAACGACGTTAGCTAATTAAGATAGCATGGCTAACACTTGTTAGCAGACAACCAGTGGCAACTGAGTGGCATGGGCGTTTTTTTTGGTTTGGTCGAACACGAAAGCTTCACTGCTCGCTAGTAGCTGATAAGCTAATTTACTTCTTGGCTATCAAGCTAAGTCAGCTAACGCTAACATCCCAGCGCTGTATAGCTAGTTATCGGTACCCAGTTAGCTAGCGGCTGTTGGAGATAAGGTAGCCTCGTTGTCGCCATGAGGTGAAGCCGTGAGAAGCGGAAGCCCACTGAGACTTCAAAGCTGGATGCTTTCTCCTCAAGTATTAGCTAGTTGGCTAGCATTTTGGCCATGTGGCTGGCTAATACATTGGGTATGTTCGGCGGGCCCTGGCTGCAGGCTTGTTTATGGGCTAACGTTAGTGCATACAGGGGTTTACGTAACGTATGCATGATTAAGGAGTCGCTGTCCATAGCAAGGTTAACAGTTTGCTATCGATCAGGGATGCAACGTTACTCCGATGTCTTAACTAACATTATGTGTTTATATCCTGTCCCTCTAATTTAGTGGTCAATACAGTGTGGATCTGCCTATCGAGGGTTTTGCGAGCATGTCCTGTTGTGGCAAAATATAGGTTGACCTAACATCACCAGGGCTATTTTGATATAGTAAGCGTTGCATAATGCTCTGAAGCGGTGATAAGTTTAAGTCAGCCAACGTTATGCACTTGAAAGCCTTGAGTGCAGCAGCACCCGGTGTGCCGTGGCACTCTGGCATCCCGGGTCAAACCCGCGACTAGCTTTGGTTTTAGACACTTCCTTAGAAAGAGGCTGAAAAACACCCTTTGTCAACGTTTTCCAGGCGTCTCTGGAAACAAAGCTGATGCTGTCTTCTTTAAAACGCTGCTAGCTTCCCCCCCACTAGGCAATAAGCCACCAGGCTGTTTGAGGAAGTAGTATTCAAGTGTTCCAGACGTGTACATGGTGACATATATAGGTCACAGGTTTGTAATGCCTCTCTCATCATTTCCTTCTCAGGTGTTATTCCTTTGTAAATACTGTTATTTGTATATACTGTAAATGATGACGTCCATGGGCGGGAACCGAGCCCGGGGCAGCTGGGAGCAGACACAGGGCCAGACACAGAGTCAGACACAGCACAAGCAGAGGCCTCAGGTACCTTCACTCTCACCACCTGACACACTGCCCAGATGCACAGTCATTTGCACCAGGGTTTAGTATAGGCAAATCAATGCCTAAATGCCACTTGTTTTGTTAGACACACAGTTTCTACAAAGCTACATACTATAGACACCAACAGTTGGGAACTTTAAATGCCAATTGCAAAGCTCAACATAGTATGCTCTGTAAGAGGTTTTGACAGATGCCAGTTACAGCACACTGGAGGATAAACAGCACTGTCGACAATTTATTCTGACTATCAGGAGGGGAGTCCCAGATTTTGGCATTGGGGATCATAGCTGCAGTCTGAACTACAGTGATCAACTCAGTCCCTGATCTAAGTTGACCAGCTAACACACAAGTTTAATAGTTACATTATAGGGTTTGGACAGGGTTTACACATGTGCTGATGTAAGGGTTTAACAAGAGTTCTAGTAGCCTGTGACAGTGGTGCTTTCTGTGTGATGAATCATAGTATTTACACGAAACAGTTGTAAAAGATTTTATAAATGGCTAAATATGAGTTATTTTTTCTCTATTTTTTGCGCAAAAGCAAATATAGTGCCCAGGGTACCAAATTAGCACCATCCACCAGCCAGATGCTGGTAAAATATTAAAGTGGCTAGTAGAATTGCTTCACTCACAAGCCAAAAATATGATGGTAATCTATTGAGTGGCTTGTAAAATTTGAACATTCACCAGCCATTTGACCTGTGGTTCAAAACAAATTAATATTGCATCCTGCTTGTGCTTCTGTTTTTTAAATATTAAATGTTTCACTCCTCTTGAAACAGGCTACCGCAGAGCAGATCCGACTTGCGCAGATGATTTCAGACCACAATGATGCAGACTTTGAAGAGAAGGTCAAACAGGTGAGCTGATGCACATCCCTTTGTTCTTTTTCCAGCATTCCTGTGTAGTTTTTCTTGCCCCTTTTGAAAATGGTTAAGTAACAGTCCTTTGTGGTTTATCTCTGGTACGTGTATTACGTCTGTTGTGTCTCACATTGGGTGTGTATATGCGTCTCCTATTATGCTTTGCATTGTTGGTTTGTCAGACGTCATCATGTACATAAAGTCAGTGACACGGCGTGCAGTGAATTATATTCAGGCTGCGATGGTGATGAATGTGTGCACATATAACTCTGTGTGTAAAATGTGATAATTAGTTATGGTAATCAGAAAACAATGTATTAAGGCACAATCTCAGTTATAAGAAAGGGGCAAAACAAAGGGTTTTTTTGTCCATTTCTTCCCTTTTGCTTGTTTAAAGGATAAAGATCTGAGGTCCCACCCTGGATAATACAGGCTTTTAGGGGTGTAACAGCACACAGAGCTCACTGTTTGGTTCATACCCCGGTTTAGGAGTCATGGTTCAGAGCTGATAGTACAGCTGGAGAAAAAATCAAATGCATAAGGATATGTTCAATTTATTTTAAACAGACAGGAGTGTCAAAGATAGATGCAATCCTCCTGCTGGGCACTGAGGTAGAATATAGCCCACTGGGAACTTTGGTTTATGATACAAGATAAGGAAAAGTGTTTCCCTTAGAGTTGTACAGGCCTGATGGGCTGCTAGGCCAACGGGAAATTCCTAACAGGCCATTAAAATCTTTTTTTTTTTTTTTTTAAATGCCAAAAATAATGCCAAATCTCCATAATTCTGAAATCAGTGATTTGTGTTTGTGGGAGCCTCTGTGAGGCACTGTTCTGAAATGTAATTTATGTGTAGTCTTTTCATTTCTGCTCAGTGTGACAGTCTTGACCATGTTTTGCTGTCTCTGTTGAGAGTGGGGCTTTGCCAGTCCACACAGGGGGCGGAGCACAGAGAGGAGAGGCTGGTTAAGTGAATATTACTCAAATTAATGACAGCTCATCATGTTGCACTTGTAATAAAAGCAAGCTCCCAAAAACCAAAGATCGACAGGCGTCGACCGCCCAAAACATTTGAAAACCTAGCCAAAATATCTGTTTTTTAAAAGCCATCGCACAAACCTGAATCTGGCGGCAGTGGTGAGGATGCTACCACTCTGCTGCTGATGGGAGACAATCTAGTCCTGGTCAGAGCACTAGCAGCTCTTCTGCTGATACAGCTGCACCCCCTACAAGCACAGAAAGACAGGCTTTGATCCATCTTGGCTGTCAGTCAGAGAGGAAATACTCCTCCTGGTTCTACAAGACTGATAGGCCACGGGTATCGGTAGGGGTAGATGTAAATAAAAATGTGTATATGT